ATGTAATGACTGTGTGGTTCAAGAAAAGCCTTTTATGTCAAATTTAAATTTATAAAAACCACTACCAACACTACTACTAACGTAGCAAGAGTGAGTAGGGATTGTCCCAAGGGATTATACGTGTTGGAATTTCAACTTCGACTCTAGCGTACCAAATGATTGCAAAAGAGAATTGGGTTGGTTGATTACTTCTAGAAAAGAATTAATTAAAATGCAATAAGATAAAGAGTAAGTAAGAAGGAAAGGTCTTGGGGTGTAGAAATCACCACCAAACAATACTATTCCAAACCATAATCAAGTGACTAATGAGGGAAATGAATGTGTTGCAACAATGTTGTGTGTGTAAAAGACATTCAATTGGTAAGGGTGACTCAACAAGTGCAAATTGTCTCAATCAACATGTGTGAGGCCACAATACATTTATTGGTAGAGGAATATATTGTCTAGATATCATGTGAAGAGAACAAAATATCAAATCAAGTCATTGAACCTTTCATTAAGCTCATAGTCCAAGCAATCCATAAGGATGACTTAGTTAAACATGCATTATCTAAACATCATGTGAGAGGCCACAATTTATCTATTGGGAGAGGAATAAATTGTCTAAACACATGTGAAAGATACAACATATCATAACTAGTCATTAATCCTTCATTAAGCTCACAATCCACATACAACACAATATTAGAGGAATATGCCATTTGGACTCACAAGCATGGAACATCAAACATCAAGAGTAGATTGTCCTCCCATCTAACATTATACTACCACTACACTAAATCTACACTACTAGCATGAAAATAAAGCTATCTAGACTAGGAGAGAGGCACAAGCCATCAAGAATAGGCATAAACCATCAAATGAACCAAAATAACATTCATTAAGCATATCATCTTGATAATCTCTAGATCTATAGCATCAATACACATAGACATGCATAAAAACACTAAATCTAGAGATAAGCACATGAATATCCTACTCTAGCATACATAGACATATGAGCAGAATAGAATAGTTAATTGGAAGTATTAAACCATACAAACCATGAAATAATCAAGATTTATATATACATGAATATCAAGATGTATCATACAACACTAATCCCTCAATAATACACAAGATTAGAGTATAGAAAGCATACTTGGGGCTAACTCTAGCCCCAAGAAGATGTCTAGCCACTCATGGTAGTGCTGATCCAACCCTCAAGGGCTAACTCCATGGCTGCTCCTTGTTGGTGAAGATCTCCTCCAATGGTGCTCTAGCTTCCTCCCTTCTTCCTCTCCAAGAATAGCCTCCAAAATGATTTTCAATGTGTGACAAGAGACTAGACTCCTCCCCAAAAAGTGTATCATATTCCTTATATAGGTAGGTCAAATACACCCTATGATGAGCTGTGGTCATGCAAGGCATATTCTCCAATGATTGGGTGAAGGACGGAATAAATGAGCTGGACTTTAACTTTTTCTCGCTGGAGGAAGTTCGATCGATCGAACCTTAACTTGGATCGATCGAAGATGGGTTCGATCGATCGAACTACATCTTGGATCGATCGAAGTGGTCTGACTCCTCCGGATAAGGACAAGGCTGAGATATTTCGAAGATATTTATGGGGAAAAGGACAAAAGTGGTTGGTAGGCGTACAGCTGTGGATAAGATCAATCATTTGAATAGGACAAAATAGGGTTCGATCGATCGAAGGTGATGTTGGATCGATCGAACTTGGAATTTCAGCAAAGGCCAAGGTTGGATCTATCAAGAAGTACTGTGATCGATCATAGATGTTCGATCGATCGAACTCTAAGTTGGATCGATCGAACTTTTCAGCTGCACAACTTTGATTCCTTTTTGCTCCTTTCTTTCTCCACTTTGCTCCCTCCTTTGGTTTATCTCAGGATTGCTTCAATTAAGCTCTTATTTGGCTGAGTTAGCTCAATTTTGGGATTAGTGCCTGAAAATATAAATAACACGTAATAAGTCTAAAACGGCAAAGTAAGATAGATAAAGGTACTAGAATGCTTAAACTTAACGGATTTAAATGCACACTTTTCAGTACTCATCAATGTCGCGAAGGAGGGTGGGTAGTGGTAGGGTGGGAGGCGGTTGGAAGAATTTCATGAACCACTTTGCTACAAGTCCACATAGGCACTTTTCAAAAAGAAAAAAAAAAAAAAAAAGTCCACATAGGCCATGGTTTTCCGCCATGAGGCCTAAGGGTTGTTTGGACTTCCTTTCTCTCCGGTTTCCTAAGTGAAGAAATCAAATCATGTGGGTGCTTGGCACTAGCTCACACTAGGCCAGTGTTCAATCCCTGTCAACTCCATTATCACCCCCCACTTACCCGGTGTATCCTTAGGGCGAGACTCTGCACCCCCAGGTTTGTAACTTAGGGTGGGTCCCGAAGAGACCCCTGCCTAGGGGAGTTCCTGGTGCTAACTTTAAAAAAAATAAATAAATAAAAAATAAAAAATAAAAAAAAAGTACTATACTTTACGAATTTAGATTTTTGATTTTTATATATGTTTATTTGTCTATTTTGTTTATTATAAAAGCAAGTTTTTAATATAGGAAAGATCTTAATATAAAAAAAGAAATTATTCTAGAATACAAGTCTAATATAACTCAATAATTTGAATTCAATTATGCCTATATATCTTCTAGATCTTTAAAAAATTAAAATTGGAAGCTACAATTTTTTTATGATGAATGAGCGATCTCTTTCTCATAATTAAATAAGAACCCTAATTTACACAATTCATTTAAAAATTTTTATAATTATATTTTGATTTGGTATTTTGTGATTACTTATAGAGCATCTCCAATAGTCTGTTACTAAGTCACACAGAGCGGGTGCGAAAGCGTCAAAGCCTAAAAAAATTTGGAGCGGGAACGTATTAAAAGCGTCTGTATATTAGGTTTTGCGAAAGCGTCACAGTCTAAAAAATTTTAGATGGGGGGCGTATTAAGAGTATCTGTATATTAGGTTTAAATAAAATTATATGCGTGATTTATTTAAATCTATATACAAATATATTCATGATTTTTTTATTCCATTAATGATATATGTAATAAATAAGCTAACTTTTCTCACTAAAATATACGTCATTTATTTGTAATATTCACTAATTGAGATATTTTTAGTAGTATATTTTCAAACACACACTGAAATTTAAGTAATTAATGTATATATTGAGTAATAGTATAACTAATAAATGCATATATAGTAATATGGGTGTTCCATATGGACTCTAACAAATTAAACTATATAAAGTAAATTAGTATGGAAATCGCGAATTAGGAAAACAAATTCACAAATTGCAAAAATTGAATTCGCGAATTTTGTGCGAATTCACTCCCAAATCACCAATTCGCATGTGGAGCTTGAGAGCAAGACCTCTTTGGACGAATTGTGTGACTTAGGTTTGTTAAAATATTTTTTTTTGTAAAATATATATTGTCACGTAATATGTCAAAAAAAAAAAATTTTAATCTCCCACCTTCTGTTAAGATACACTGCCAAGTCACTAATATGTAAAATTGTTATATATTTTACACAGCCACATCAGCATATTTTCTTTCTCCTCTCTTTTTCTAATTCCATTAACAAATCAACAAATTTGTAAAAATTATGTGGTTGTTAGTTGTTATTGGGAGATATATTTTAACACAAAAGGTATAAAACAATAGGAAGTTATAAATAAATAAATCAATTTTTTTGTATAAATCTATTATAACACATTAAATTTACACAAAAAAATATATATATATATACACACAACGGTTGGAGATGCTATTAACTTTTAAAGTGATACCTAATTGCTCAATCATCGTCAATTTTGACCAATTTTTTTTTTAATAAAAATTTTAAAATACTTTTAAGGAAATTTAAGTGTTTCTTTTCTTAATAAATAAATAAATATTTTTTTTGATTTTTTAATTTTTATTGTTATTTTCTCAAAATTTTTGGTATTCCAATCTTCTGAAGAATTGTCCTTATTTATATAGCAGGGAGCATTTTAACACGAGGGGCAATTGCGCATTCTTTATATATAGCAGGGAAGCATTTTTCAATTTACCCTCCAAAATTTTTAATTTTAATTGTCATTTCTATTTTTTATTTATTATTTTAATTTTAATTTTAATTTTTGTATATATAATGATGATAAATGCAAATATCTCTCACTGATGAAGGGCTTGTGGCCTAGTCATAACTTAAGTAAATAATTTAGATTGAGTGGCCATTTTGTTTTATGGGTTGCTATTTGCTTTTAGGTCCTTCAGTTTATATATCTATATCTATATATATATATATATATATATATATATATATATATATATATATATATTTGGCTTTGCATCCTCAGTAAAGTTCTCTTTCTTTTATAATAGCATTTGATTAAAAGTAAATAAATAAAGGATGTATTTTGTCTTGCAAATTTTTTAATATAGGAAAGATCGTAATATATAAAAATAAATAAATAAATAAATAAATAAAAACAAAACTTATTATTATAGAATCCAAGCCTAATATAACTCAATAATATAAATTCAATTATGCCTATATATTTTCAGGATCTTCAAATAATTAAAATTGAAAGTTACAAATTTTATTTTTTTTATTTTTTATTTTATTATTATTATTATTATTTTTATGATGAATGGGTGATCTCTTTTTCATAAATAAAAACTTTGATTTACACAATTCATTTAAAAAAATTTATAATTATATTTTGATTTGAGTAAATTCACACTGAACACTTCACATATATTCAATTTACATTTCACCATCCTTCTAATAAATACATATATCTGTTGATAGGTATGCAATTTATGGTTGCTTATCTTCAAAGTTTTTACATTATCAACAACTCAAATCAAAAAGTTTCCAGTTCCCTGTTTACGTAGGATGAGGAGAGTATGAATATCACTCCGTGACTTCGGACTTTCTTAATCAACCCTAATCTCCATCACACCCACAAGAACACCAAGAAAGTAGTAGCAGGATGCGAAGTACAGCCAAAAGCCATGGCCTCTGTGGACTTGGACTTGTAGCAAAGTGGTTCATGAAACTTCCACCACCACCACCACAACCCATCCTCCCCAACGACATCATCTACTACATTCTGTTGCTACTACCCGTGAAGTCTCTAGCTCAATGCAGGTGTGTTTGCAGAGAATGGAACAACTTATTAACCGGTTCGAACTTTCTCAAGAACCACTTAGACTATGCTCGCCGTCGACTCATTGTGTCATCCTTCGGATCTCTCATGTCTATGGACTTGGAAGCACGGGGAGATTTTGTTGTGACCAACGACTGTGACTTCCCATGGAACATGACTGCTCATTTCATCACGGGCTCTTGTAATGGCTTGTTGTGTTTGCTTGCTGATTATTCCCTCTTTCTGTGGAACCCTTCTACGAGACAATGTAAGCAACTACCACCACCACCTTCATATTGCTTCGTAAGGTATGGTATGTTTTATGGGTTTGGGTATGACAAGGTTATTGATGGATACTATAACTATAAGGTCGTTAGAGGTGAAAACAATCACGCTTTTCGACATGGCAACAAATCCAAAGTTGAGGTCTATACGAGGAAAACAAATTCTTGGAAAAGAATTCAAGACTTGCCTTACTATTGTATGTTCCAAGAAAGAGGGACTTTTATTAATGGATCTTTGCATTGGTTAGCCATTCGTCATAGCGATTTTTGTGCTATCATTGCTTCTCTTGATTTAGCAAAGGAGGAATTCAGAGAGATTTTGCTTCCGGAATTTGAGCTACAATCGGTCTCGCTTGAATTGGGGACTTTGAATGGAATGCTTTCTGCGATGTATAAGAACTTTAATGGATGGTCCGTATATGCCATGAAAGAATACGGTGTGCCAACATCTTGGATTATATTGATCACAATACCTTCTTTTGTGTGGACAAGGGTAAAGATGCCCTTTTATTTGATGAAGAATGGCGAACTTGTGTTGCAAGTGAGAGATGACAAACTGTTGATGTATGATCCAAGAAAAAATACATTTAAGGAGCTCATAGACACTAAATCCGGTATTGAATCAACTACTTATTATGTGGAGAGTTTAGAGTCACCATAAGTGATCGAGCAAAGAATGAGGACAGAGACCATAGGTGATCGAGCAAAGAATGAGGACAGAGACCAGCTACGACAACAATAAAAATAAGGCATTTTCTCACCTATTTGGTTGGTATGTTGAAAAAAGAGCAAGTGTTTCTTATTGACCTCTTTTAATTTTTTATTTCTTGTTGATGTAAATGAGTAAATTTGTTTTTTTTTTTATTTTATTTTTTTTTATTTTCCATTTGCCACTGTTGTGAAGGATTATCATTGTTTTGAAAAATGTAATCTTAAGTCTAGTTCAATTATAATTACAATTCTTATTATAGTTTATCAAAAATTATATTATCAACTACTATCATTGTTTAAGTTGAGGTTAGAGGTGAAAGCTACAGGATTAGTAGACAGAAGGACATCAGAGATACAAAGTTGAGGTCTATACTTAAAAAAAAAACAAATTATTGGAAAAGAATCCGAGACTTCCCTTGAAAGAATATATTCCAAGCAAAAGGGACCTTTGTAAAGATTTTCGTCCTGTCAGGTCCATCATAGTTCTAAGGAGCTGTACAAGGCCAATGGGGGTCTCTTTTAAGCCAGGCATTGCTTCTCTTGATCTAGCAAAGAGAGGAATTCAAAGAGGTTATGCTACCGAATTTTGAGTAATTGTGTTTTGTACTTTTTTATTTTTTATTTTTATCAAACTAGAGGGAGGAAAATTCAAACACAGTTCTACCCACTTGGGAGCTAGAGACTCTACCAATTAGGCCACTTGGGGGTTTTGAATGCAACGTTTTTTGTGATGTGTCACTAGGGTATTGAATGTATATGCAATGAAAGAGTATGGTGTGCCAGAATGTTGGATTTTATTGATTACCATACCAACTTTTTTTGTGGACAATTACAACAATGCCTTTATATTCCAGGAAGAATGGTGAACTCAGAGGTGCAAAAATCAAAGAACAAAATGTTGATTTACGATCCAGGAAAATAGATAGTTAAGATGCTCTGTTGTGGCACTCATCTCGTAGGCAGGTTTCTTGAATCGCTTATATTTTGTTTCTTCCATTTTTCAAATCACTTGTTAATTCAACCTTCTTCTTCTTTTTCTTTTTCTTTTTTTAGTTTATTCAAAGTCTGACCTTCTTTATGTATTCGGTATTCACATGCACAAACATGTATTTTTCATACATCTTTTGCAGATGTGCCTTAAATTAATAATTATTTTTGGTTTTCTCCAAGAAAATTTCAATTTCATTTTTCATGATATTAATGTGCGTGTGTGGGCGTGTTTTATTTATGTAATTCAATTTCATTTTTCATGATATTACCGCTCGGGTTTCAAGGATTTTTCTGGTTCGTAGGTTGTCCCATATTTTAATAACCTATAAATAAATAAATTTGTAAGAAATAAAATGTTGAAGTGTATATAGCAACATAAACTTGACATATTTACCCAAAAAAAAAAAAAAAAAAAAACATAAACTTGACATAAAATAAAACGTCTCATATAATGTGAAAAAAAAAAAAAAAAAAAAAAAAAAAAAACCAAATTATGTGTAATATGATGTTATAGCAATAATTTCTAATTTCTAATTTTTAATCAAAGATATATCAATCATTCCAAATTTCAAGACAGCTAACATGGTCCAAAAAGTTCTCATAATAAAAATTTAAAAAGAACTCAATAGTTGATATTCTTTTGTTTCCTTAATTAAAATTCAAGGGTAGAGTACACCAACGCCCCTGAGTTTTGACATAATGACAAATAGATGAAAGTTGTCTTATTTTTGAACAATCACACCCCCTCAAGTTTGATAAAATGGACAAAGATACTCTGACAATGATGAATTAATTTTATTACCCTTTGATATAAAATTGACAAATAAAATTATTTAAATACCCTTGAATCAAATAATTTTAAATGGGTTATTGGGTAAAACCCATATGATAAACCCAAATTTTTTCTATCCGAACACTATTCTTCTCTTTCCCTTCTCTCAGACCCTAACCCAAACAACTAATATATATATATATATATATATATATATATATATATATATATATATATATATTGTCTGTATAGATCGACACACACACACATATATCATGATCACCACCGCCACAAATCAGCCCCATTGCCGCATCATCATCATCAATTTATCACGGTGACGAGCAAGGGAAAGGAATTCGGAGGATGAAGGCTTACAACTCTAAATTAGTGCTTATTTTAAGTGAGAGAGAGAGTGATATATATATATATATAAACCTATATATATACATTTATAAAATTTTAGGGAATTCTAGAGGGAGAAATGTTGGCAGTGGTTGGGGGTGAAGGAGGAGGAGCAGTTAACATGGAGAAGGATTTTGATTCAAAGCTTAGGATTTAGAATGATTCATCCAATATTGAGAAAGTACAGAGATCTAGGAGCTTTGCATTCAGGGCACCACAGGAGAATTTTACCATCCATGACCATGAATTGGGCAAAGTATATGGGGTTAGTTCTTATTCCAAGGTTAGGTTTTTTTTTTTTTTTTTTTTTTTCCTCTCTCTCTCTTTTGGTCTTCTTATTATTTATATTCTGTATATAGTGATTCTCTTTTGATTTTGATTGTATTAATCTGATTTTTGCTTATTATAGATTAATAGTTTGTTCTGATTTGATGATTTATTAAGATTGGTTTATTCTGGTTTGAGAAGATTTACCTTTTAGTATTTGGGGAACTTCGAATCTGTGCAGTGGAGATTTAAGGTTAAATTAGAATAAATGATAGAGAAGATTTGCCGTTGAAGATGGTGAGCCGATCGACAGCTGATGGTTGGAAGGTGTGTAGTTGGTGCCATGGCCAAAGCTTTCGGGTCTAGCTTGGCAGTGGTGGTGACTGTTGTGTGGTTGTGTGTGTGTGTGTGTATATGTATATATATATATATAGAGAGAGAGAGAGAGATGAAAAGGGTAATTTGGCCATTTAAGTATTTTGATATTTTATAATTAAAATTAATAAAATAATAAAGGGTAAAATGGACTTTTCACATGTTTTAATACTCTGTTTGGATAGCAAATTTCACAAGGGGTGTGATTGTCCAAAAATAGACAAACTTTCATCAGGGTGTCCTTTTGGTAAACCTCAGAGGATATCTCTGTACTTTACCCGATATTCAATTATTACCTCTGTACTTTATCCAAAATTCAATTATTATATGTTTTTACTTTGTAAAAATAAACATGTCAAAGTAATAAAATTAGGTAAATACCATGAATCCATGATGATACTATAAATAATCTAAATTTAAAATTATTTTACTTATAGTCTTGTATAAAAATTATATTCTTATATTTTGGGTTCTTCAAGTTCCTTGGGTTACTAGAATTTTTGTTCTTTAAGTTCCTTGGGTGACTAGAATTTTTGTTCAAATCCCACCCAAAATAAATTTGGACTACAAAGTTTAATCCCAATCCCATCCTATTGTCCAATGACCTTGTCGATTCCGGTATAACCATCGGGCAGGACTCTGGTTAGACCCACCCAATTCACTCTGGTTAGACCCACCCAATTCCCACTCCTAATATACTTTGCCTACTCACCACTAAGTATTTCATCTATTGACCCTTGATGTGGTACGTCTAATCATAAATGCATATTATATGTGATTACAAAATCAGGAAAGTAATAAGTAAGTTCAAATACTTTTTTGGAATCAATTTGATCATTTTTTCTAATTTTTTTATTTATCACTTTTCTAATTTTGTAATCACATAATATACGTGGATTTGTTATTGAATCCATTGCGTTAATACTATTACCTTTCTTTGAAGAAAACAAATATATAATCTAAAAGACTTTGTTATAAGTTATAACCATCTATAATCATATTACTATAAAGCTGTTTCCAAAACCTCTAGTCATCCCATCATGTTTGAACTCCTAAGCACGACTGATTGATACAAAATACAAACTGAACAAGAGAATTGATTCCAACAAGACAACTCTTAGGTTGTGGTCGAGTGCATAGAATTGAAACCTTTATACATTGTGCTAAAAGTCTGATATATCAAAAAAAAAAAAATGAAGGTTTGGTGAAATGTTTAATTTAGATTATGATTACATTAGAATAGCATCAGGATTGGACACAGTTTCAGCTATTTTCTATTGAGATTGTCGTGTGAAAAAAAAAATATGAAGAAATACTCTAAAGCATTGCAAATTTATACTCGGGAATTAGATTTTGAACTTGTTAGATTTGTAAAAATAGAATGAAGATTATTGTCATTTAAGAATCAACATTACACGTGTGAATTGAGTAAAAAAAAAATTACAAAAATAAAATAAAATAACACAGCGCAAAAATTAGCATAATATGTACAGGTAACAAGAATCATAAGCATAATTAAATGATTAACAAATTAAAAGAACAGAGAAAGAAGTTGATGAGATAGCCAATCCACACTGGCTTCCAATTTTAGAAGAGAATTTTGATGGCTGAAGAAGAGGAATGAAACAAAAATACATCTTGACAAAGTGAAAACAAATTAAAAATGAAGTTGCAGAAGGGAGAGAGTAGGAAAAAAAAAAATAATAATAATAATAATAAATAAAATAGATTTGGATCGATTTTCGCATTTCATCCTTGACAAGGGGCAATGCTAATCTTCTCTGTTAAGCAAGTTAAAAGTCATTATTTTCAAAAAAAAATAAAATGTGAAAACTACCTTATGAATAAGCCTCACTCACTTTTTGAAAGTACAATTTTAACCTGAAGATAACTACGTTGGTTTTGCTCTCCAAAGAGCATATCAATGTATCATTCAATTCTCTCCCTATCCTTTTTCAGAAATTGCACAAACGTCAGTAATGTCTCATCCTACCAAAATTCCAACACTAAACATCATTCAGATTTGTGGAATTATGATAACTCCTAAGATTTTGAGATTACCTTCTGTTCCTTTTCTTCGATTTACCCCTTTCTTCTTGTTTGAACATTTAATGCTGAACCATTAATGGAAACATCAACAGTTTGCCTTCTCATTTCTTTAGTTAGAACCATATTCTTTAGTTAGAACCATATTAGCAACATCGTCAAACTTCAACTTAGACTTTCCTACAGAGCTACTAATTGAAGTAACTATATCACTCCAACTCTCGAATAACTGCCTTAAAATTAGAAGTGCTCAGACCACATCTTTGAAGTCGATTTCAACAGACTCTAATTGGCTCATAATCTCGTTGAACATATTTAGATTTTCGTTAAACCTTCCACCTTCGGCCATTTTAAGTAGAACAATTTCTTAATCAAGTGTACCTTATTTGCTCCAGTTGGTTGTTCATACATGCTAGAAAGGAGTGACATGAGAGATACCGTATTTTTAAATATTGACGGCAACCAGGGCTGGCCCTGGCCAAGGCGGTCGCCTAGGGCCTCAACATTTAGAGGGCCTCAACATTTAAAAAAAAAAAAACTTAGGCCCCTTACTATGAGTGATAGGCCCAAAAAGAAACGAAAAAAATTTAGGCCCCTTTCCATGAGTGATAGACCCAAACAAAATAAAAAATAAAAAAATAAAAACTTAGGGCCCTTCAATTAATTAAACGAATTCAAAGCCCATTCAAAATTAAGACTCTTGAAAACTTGGTGATTAAATTCGAAATTGAATATGGTCCTTTACTACTTTATGTGTATGTTGGTGTGTATTTCAATAATTAAATGGCCTCAAATTTAAGTTTGCTTAGAGCCTCTCAAAATTTTGTTAATCTCAGAGCCGGCCCTGAAGGCAACTGACTTTAATAACGTCGGTCTAACGGTGTTGTTAGCCTTCCGATCAAGTAATTGCAACTCCGAATCCTTTATATCATTTGGCTATCAAAAAATAGATACAAGGTTTTTTTTAAAAAAAAAAAAAAAAAAAAAGTAATCCTTAACGATCAAGTTCCAAATTGATGCTTGTGCTAACAAACTTCTCGATCATGGGTATCTTATCTTCTGATGTCATTACTCCCACTCGAATGAACAAGTTGAATGCAAAGAATTCCTCCTAGAAAACTAGCCAAACGCCCATATGCCCTAGGTTCGCAAACCAAAGGTTCTTATACTAGTTCTTGCAGAAATGATTACAAACAACATTATTCGAGTAGTAAGCTAGCCACATAATAATCACATATCAACACAAGATATACGTGATTTACCCAAAACTTTGGTCTACATCCTGGAGTGCAACTAAGTAATTGACTATGAAGAAGATCAAAAGATTACAGTGGAGAACATTTTTCCTCAATCTCTTGTTGTGGCTTAATAATCTCACAACTTCTTCACATATAAGGAGGGTTGGAACCAAATCCAATATATATGAAGGAACAACTTGTCCAAGAGTTCAATCCCCAAGCATTCCTTCACTTTGTGGGTAGCTATACAGCAGAAATTACCAACACTCAACAGAAGATGCACATCTTATATCAATGCCACTCTCTGCAGCCTCTGCAACTCTCAACCTGAAACCCACAACCACCTGTTCTTCAACTGCGACTATACAAATGTTGGGAAACGTGCTAGTTTTAAAAACTTTTCGAGGGATTTAAATTCACAGATCTTGATTCATCACATAGAGACAAGTTTTATGCAAAAAATAAAATAAAATATGATGTATTATTCAACTAAAAGATTGAATACTTACATCAAGGTTTGAGTAAACCTCAGATCTCTCCTCTAAAGTGAATGTTCTCACTTATTGTAGATCCCTTTTGCTAGACATCTTTTCCATGGATCTCCATCTTCTTGGTAATGGTCTTGCCTTTAGGAATCACTCATAAGCCTCCTTGAATGACCTTGGAAAACTAGGCTTGTGGGAGCCTCCATTAGATGAGAACATAAACCCTAATTTTCTAGAGAGAGAAAATTTATTCCTTTTTCCTTTTCATAAAAATCACCCCCTAAAATATACATAGACCATGTATATTTATAGGCAACATAAAAATAAAGAAAAGGAAACAACAAATCCTTCTCCATCTCCAATTCATATGTCTCAAATCTAATATGATTCCAATATCAAGTTGGGCTATGAGTGAGAATCCATTGGGCCTATTATTTTATTGGCTACAACGAATTAATAATTGGCCCGGTCCATGGACCCAATTCAATTAATTCATAAATTAATTTCTACTCCACTAAAAGAAATTAATTGAACTCCAATTAAATAATAAATAACCTCTAAGTCAATATTGCACTTTGACCCCTCTATGCATAATTAGTTATCGGATAAATATAGCCATCAATCCGACTACTTAATTAATATATTTATTTTGGTACCTTTGATTATTTCTGGCTCGATCACAATAAAACATTTGTTTGACAAAAATAATAATTTAAATAAATAAATATATAATAAATCATTTTGTCTAAAAACACACGAAGGCCTTCGAATTTACTTTGTGATCAACCATAATCAATACAAAATAAATACAAGTAGCAATGATGCAAATATTGAAAATATAACCCTCTAACTATTAATTACATAACTACCCAAAGTGTCGGTCTAAGGATCCCGAAGAATCCGCCGAACAAATCAAAGTAATTATTAATTAATAAAAGAGTCTATACTTTTCTCATACTTAAGAGTCAAATGCCATGACGGTGATAGAGAGTAATTGCATACGACGGCTCTCGCAATATATCTCAACCTAACGCGGATCCAGTTCAAGTCTTAATTAATTATGAGTCCATCCATAATTACCGACTATGAACAATTTATAATTACTATTTATATATCATGCATTGATTGTCATCACATACATATATATAAATATTTCTTGTAATTAACTGGACACTATCAATTTCATAGTGAATTGAAACATAATACATTGAATTTACCAATTATATAAATCATAAATATTTCAGATATGTCAGGAACATATGTCAATACAATCCAGATAGGAATTTGCTATGCCAGGGCATATAAATCCCAACAGCTCCCACTTGCCCTCATAGCCAATTCAAATTGCACCTAACTCCAATGTTATCCAGATGATGATCAAAATTATTGATCAATGACACCTTTGATAATGGATCAACAAAGTTGTGTTCCAATGCAATGTTTTAACTACAAGTGCATTTTCTTGCCGGACAATATCATGTCGAACATGATACTTCCTCTCAGTGTATCTTGTTCCTCTATGGAACCTTGGGTCATTGGTTTGGACTACTTCTGCACTATTGTCACAACATAGCTCAATAGGCAGGCTAGTATACTCCACAACCTCTAAATCAGTGAGATCAAACTAATAGGCTTCCTTTGCCGCCTTTAAGGCTGCAATATATTCCACCTACAGGTTTGAGTCAGCAGTTGAAATCTGCTTAACAATCTACCAACTGATCTCCCTTCCATTAAGTGAACTTACACTGAGTCATGAACCTCATAGTATCTACTTCTGATTGAAAATCAGAACTAGCATACCTGACTAGGACCATATCATCACATCCATAAATGAATATGATATCATTGGTTCTCCTTAGGTACTTAATGATATTTTTCACAATAGACCAGTTGTCAAGTCCAGTATTGGACTGATCTCTACTGACTATCCCTACTATGTAGCGGATGTCCTGTTTGGTATAGACCATGGCATATATGAGACTCTCATATGCCGAAACATATTGTTCCAGTCCCATTTGCTCAATCTCCTTTGATAGTCTTGAAAAACTACTTATTAGAGAGAGCCATCCATATCAATAAAGCAAGAACTCATTCTTTGATTTATGCATACCAAACTTGGTCAAAACTTTATCAATGTAGGATTATTAAGATAAGCCTATTTTCCTTTTAACCTGATCTTGCAAAAGCTTGATCCTAGGAATATAGCTTACATCTTGAAAATCCTTCATTTAAAAGTAATTGAACAACTACCTTTTAATTGATGACAAAACTTCCACGTCATTATAAATGAGTAGGATGTCATCAATATATAGAATTAAGAAAAATAATGACATTCCCTTGTACACTCATGATTTATTCACTAAGAAATCTTCTGGTATCTTTTTGTAGATTAACTTGTCTTCCATAGGAATCACCCTACTAGAAAGTTCTACAAGATCCCAGAATTTATTAGAATACATAGATTCCAACTCTGATTTCATAGTAACTCACCAAAACGATCTGTATCCACATCGGTTCACGCTTCCGTGTAGCTTACTGGGTCCAACTCATGTTTAACAGGGATGTCCATAATGGTCTCACCTAAAAACATGATTCTGTCGAATTGGATGATAATCCTCCCACTACATCAATGTACGGATGCAAGAATCTGTGTAATAGATGATGCTAACGCATCAATAGGGAATTCATATATTATTCTCAATCTCTATAATAAGTGTGTTCACATGTGGTACATCTGGTACTCATACCAAATTCTCTAACATTATGCTACTAAGTATGTGATTCATAATATGATTCTCCTATAGATAAACAGTGAGTCAAAACAATTAACTTTTATCTTTGAGATCATAAAATAATCCATCCTAGTGACATTTAGAGTAGCTATCAAATCTAGCATGCCTATGATCTGCTTCCAACTTACTTGTCCATATCAAGCGCACATGTGCAAGACTACCCCATATGTGCATATGATTCAAACTAATATTTAGTAAAAAACACAGCTCAACGGTATCCTTGAGACAGACTAAGATGGAATGCAGTTCATAATGCGCA